TGCAGCAGAATTTTTTTTTGTAACCTTGGCCAGATCTGTGCCTTGCCACAATTCTGTCTGTGAGCTCTTCAGGCAGTTCCTTTGACCTCATGATTCTCATTTGCTCTGACATGCAGTGTGAGCTGTAGGGTCTTATATAGACAGGTGTGTGGCTTTTCTAATCACGTCCAATCAGTATAATCAAACACAGCTGGACTCAAATGAAGGTGTAGAACCATCTCAGGGATGATCAGAAGAAATGGACAGCACCTAAGTTAAATATATGAGTGTCACAGCAAAGGGTCTGAATACTTATGACCATGTGATATTTCAGTCTTTCTGTTTTTAATAAATCTGCTAAAATGTCAAAAATTCTGTGTTTTGTTTTTTTGTGTCAATATGGGGTGCTGTGTGTACATTAATGAGGAAAAAAAATGAACTTAAATGATTTTAGCATATGGCTGCAATATAACAAAGAGTGAAAAATTTAAGGCGGAACCTGTTCGGTTGAACAAGGGCCAGTTTGGCCACACGATGGCAAATGTCAGAACAGTATAATAAAAGCAAAATTAGATTTAGATAACATTAGCCACCAGTGTTTCAATTTAATGGACTGATTAATGAGTGTTTCACTTCTAATGACGACGCTTTTTGTGCCTGAACATCAAGATCTTGAGTATCAGAGAATATCTTCAAATCTGTTTGCATTAATTCTATTGGTGGTGCTGTGTGGTTTTCTGGTGCAGACTGAGGGCAGGACTGTGTGACAGATGCACAGTGACTCAGGAAATGGCCAAGCTGGGAATTTGAAACCTCGCATATGCAGAACCTCCAGCACATCTCTCTCATGGGTATCCTGTTTATGTCTGTCTTTTCAGTGATTCATCCATCACTTGTTTTTTTAATCTATTTACTTATTTTAAATTCATTGCCTTTCTCTTTTTCTGCCTTCTGTTTGATTCCCAAAGCTTTTTTTCAACCTCCCATTTATATTTTTCCAGTAAAAAATACATTTCAAAGACAACTTCGATTTTAGAGTCTGGTCATGACTTCTGGTCTGTGTTGTAGCAGGAGAGATGAACAACCTGAAAATGGAGAACAAGAAACTTAGAGATGAGATCAGGAATTTAAGAGCAGGTCTCGAGTGAGTATATATGGTTTGATTTGATCATTTTCAAGAGTTCACTTCAATCTTCTTTCTGGAACTTTTAAATAACTTTTTACTCATGTTTTATTTTCATTTTTGTAAGTAATAACAGTATTTCTCAAAAAAGTAGTAAAGGCAGCAAATGTGTGTCCACTATTTTTTGTTGCTTGTGTGGCAAATAGTTTGATTTCATTTTTACAGGAGTTTTGCATATCAAAATATACATGGCAGTTTATTAGGTACACCAAGCTAAAACTAATGTATGTGTGTGTGTGTGCGCGTGTGTGTGTGTGTGTGTGTGTGTAGCAGATGTCACACTGACCACTCCTCCAACAGCACCGCCACAGATGTCAAACCAAATAGCTCCCCTGACCTTTCTCCCTCTTCTGTACCTGTGGCCCTCATCAATGCCGCAAGCAGCCAGCCAAGCAGCCAGCCAACAGATGGCGATGTTGTAGTGAAATCCAAAAGAACTGAAGGTGAGGATGAAGAAGAGCTGGGGAAGGAAATGATTTCACATTTGATAGCTGATTGTCATGCTCTCACTCTTAAATAACTTGGTGATTTCCATTTTTCATCAAACAGAAGCTGAACACAGACAATTGAGAGGGATGAGTAAAAGCAATTTTGTAAGTCAGTGAATCAACTTACTCTACTATAAAAACAGTTTTTGATATTTTCCCTGGTGCATGTGTGTGGCAGAGAAATTGCTTGAAAAATACTATTTTTCAAGAGTTGCATAAAAGAGTAACACCACTGTCATATCTGCCCATGAAATATGGAGCTATAACCTGGAGACTTTAGCTTAGCTTAGCTTGGCACTGTCCAAAGGAAAGAAGTCTGTCTGCACCTATAAAGCTCACTAGTTAATATGTTATATCTCATTTTTGCTGAATCCCCAAGAAGTGTAAAGACAGCGTTTCTTCAGACAAAACCAGACTATTTGTTTCCTCTTGTTTCTGGTCTTTATTTTAGCAAACACAGATGAGCATGGTATCAGTTTTATCATTTGTCTCTCAAAAAGAAAGAGCAGCCCCCTTCTCAAACATGTAAAACTATTACTGTAACTGGTTAGCCAAAGGTATAGTCATTTTGTTTTGCTTTCTGTTCTTCTCAGTTCTCACAGGAGTCATACAAGCCTTTTTTGCTGTCATCTCTCATAACACCTTCCTGGAAGGCAGACCACAGTGGGACTCGGGCAGGAGAGAGAAGGTGCGACTGAGAAATGTGCAGTAGGAAATTGCAAAACTGCCTTTGATGCTAGTCACTGGGTTTCCATCCACCTGTTCTTATGCATATTTTCAGTTTGTGCATATAAAAAGCCTGAATGGAAACACCAACAATTCAAAAAAGCCGTAAAATTCTGCAAATGTTTCTACACTTGGCTCAGGAGGAAAAATTGCTATTAATAAAAGTTGATAAAACCTAAATGCAATAGAAACAGACAGAGCCAATTAATCAGGACATTCATGAAGCACGTGTGACTTACTGTAATCATTCATCATCATCCAATCATTCATTCATTCATTTTCTACCGCTTAATCCCTGAACGGGATCACGGAGCCAATCCCGGCCGGCAATCAGGCGAAGGCGGGGTACACCCTGGACAGGTCGCCAATCCATCACAGGGCTAACACAAAGACGAACAACCACACACGCGCACACCTATGGGCAATTTAGAGACACCTGGAGAGAACCCACGCAAGCACGGGGAGAACATGCAAACTCCACACAGAAACCCGGAACCTTCTCGCTGTGAGGCAACAGTGCTAACCACTGCGCCACCGTGCTGCCCCTCTGAGGTATTGCAGCAAAGCAAGGACGAGTCCGCAATGCTGCCAACACAGTTGTTAAAGTGAAACAAGTGCTGGGGAGGAGCTTTGATGATCCAACGACACAAGATCACAAATCCGAGACAAAGTGTCAGGTGGTCAGCAGAGAAGAGAAGCCTTATCATGAGATTACAGCAGGAGAGCAGTCAGAGTACAGTGCCTTGCGAAAGTATTCGGCCCCCTTGAACTTTGCGACCTTTTGCCACATTTCAGGCTTCAAACATAAAGATATAAAACTGTAATTTTTTGTGAAGAATCAACAACAAGTGGGACACAATCATGAAGTGGAACAAAATTTATTGGATATTTCAAACTTTAACAAATAAAAAACTGAAAAATTGGCCGTGCAAAATTATTCAGCCCCCTTAAGTTAATACTTTGTAGCGCCACCTTTTGCTGCGATTACAGCTGTAAGTCACTTGGGGTATGTCTCTATCAGTTTTGCACATCAAGAGACTGAAATTTTTGCCCATTCCGCCTTGCAAAACAGCTCGAGCTCAGTGAGGTTGGATGGAGAGCATTTGTGAACAGCAGTTTTCAGTTCTGTCCACAGATTCTCGATTGGATTCAGGTCTGGACTTTGACTTGGCCATTCTAACACCTGGATATGTTTATTTGTGAACCATTCCATTGTAGATTTGGCTTTATGTTTTGGATCATTGTCTTGTGGGAAGACAAATCTCCGTCCCAGTCTCAGGTCTTTTGCAGACTCCATCAGGTTTCCTTCCAGAATGGTCCTGTATTTGGCTCCATCCATCTTCCCATCAATTTTAACCACCTTCCCTGTCCCTGCTGAAGAAAAGCAGGCCCAAACCATGATGCTGCCACCACCATGTTTGACAGTGGGGATGGTGTGTTCAGGGTGATGAGCTGTGTTGCTTTTACGCCAAACATAACGTTTTGCATTGTTGCCAAAAAGTTCGATTTTGGTTTCATCTGACCAGAGCACCTTCTTCCACATGTTTGGTGTGTCTCCCAGGTGGCTTGTGGCAAACTTTAAACGACACTTTTTATGGATATCTTTAAGAAATGGCTTTCTTCTTGCCACTCTTCCATAAAGGCCAGATTTGTGCAGTATACGACTGACTGTTGTCCTATGGACAGAGTCTCCCACCTCAGCTGTAGATCGCTGCAGTTCATCCAGAGTGATCATGGGCCTCTTGGCTGCATCTCTGATCAGTCTTCTCCTTGTATGAGCTGAAAGTTTAGAGGGACGGCCAGGTCTTGGTAGATTTGCAGTGGTCTGATACTCCTTCCATTTCAATATTATCACTTGCACAGTGCTCCTTGGGATGTTTAAAGCTTGGGAAATCTTTTTGTATCCAAATCCGGCTTTAAACTTCTCCACAACAGTATCTCGGACCTGCCTGGTGTGTTCCTTGTTCTTCATGATGCTCTCTGCGCTTTAAACAGACCTCTGAGACTATCACAGTGCAGGTGCATTTATACGGAGACTTGATTACACACAGGTGGATTCTATTTATCATCATTAGTCATTTAGGTCAACATTGGATCATTCAGAGATCCTCACTGAACTTCTGGAGAGAGTTTGCTGCACTGAAAGTAAAGGGGCTGAATAATTTTGCACGCCCAATTATTCAGTTTTTTATTTGTTAAAAAAGTTTGAAATATCCAATAAATTTCGTTCCACTTCATGATTGTGTCCCACTTGTTGTTGATTCTTCACAAAAAATTACAGTTTTATAAGTCTGTCAACTTAAATGTCCAGTGAAAAGAAAAACTGACACGAAAAAAATCTGTGCAGAGCCATGAGGAGACTGTAACCTTCCCCCAAATTAATACATCCATAAAAATGTTATATTTCCTTTTTCACCATTGTTCTTCACCATTTACATTTTGACTGATGTTCTTTTAATTTTGCGTTCTTTTTATGCCCTGTTCTTCTGAAATGGTTTAAACAAGTTCCTACTATTTGTGTAACAGTAATGATAGAAATGCTCATCCCATTTTCTTTTACTGATTTTTTTTGCAATTCAGCTATATCTTGTGCTACACTTGGATGGAAACCCACTTATACTGTAACCAAGTATGTAAGTAATAAGTGTATGGAACAAATCAGTAATTGGGCACTGCAAAATTTAAACAAAGATAGAAACAGAAATAGTTGTTGGTAGACCAAAGAAAAATGAGCTTCAGTCATCCATGTTAAAAACCACAAACCACGTCATAAATCTTGGTGTTGTCATGGACACAAAAGACATTTACAGTCATGAAGTTTTCCATTAGATTATTTTCAGTAGATGACTATGATATAATCTTTAAGAGTCTCTCTAAAAAGTTGAGTAGATAGCTGGAGCTGATTCAGTTGCTGCAACTACAGTCCTCACTATGTCCAGCAGATAGTATTTTTAGTTTAATAACCACTGAGAACTGAGCAGCTACTCTGTTCTCAGATCCTCTGGTACAGGTCTGTCAACTGTCCCAAAAATTTAAGATAAACATGGACATGCAACATTCAGTTTCTATCTGAAAAAAATTAGAAAAATCAACTTGACTAGGTTTTTCGGTCGAAGACATTGCACCTCTCATCCAAGAGGCTTCATCAGCCTGCACGGACATTCAGTTTCTATTCACCGTAGTTCTGACACAAACCCCCCAAAAATTTGCTCCTAATTGCAGTTCTTTTAAATCAAGGATTTAAAAGAACTGCCTCTTTGTAAAAAAGGAACAGTTTGTCATTTTGAGGAAAACTCTTTTTTGCTTTGTTGCCAGGACATTGATGAGAAGGTTGATGCCACTCTCATGTCTGCATATTGAATATAGACCTACAAGCAGTACACCATTAGCTTAGCTTAGCACAGCATAAAGAACCTCACTATGTCATTTTTACATATCTGTTTTTGTGCAGATTAAACAAACAAATGATTTTGTCTGGATTAGAGGAGCTGCTAGGCAGATTATGTTACATTTGGACATAGCTAGACTAGCTGTTTCCCCCTACTTATGCTAATCTAAAGTTGCTTTAGCTTCATATCTGGTGTGCAGGCTTGAGAGAAATATCATTCTTCTCATTTAGCTATTTTTATATTACAACCCCAAATCAGAAAAAGATGGGGTGGTATGTAAAATTTAAATTAAAACTGAAAATAGTGATGTGTAAATCATCTGTATCCTGTATTACATTGAGAACAATACAGCAGCACATTATTTGATGTTATATCTCATCAACTTTGTTCTTTATTGCTGTAAAGTGTAACTAAGAAATGCATTTCTGCCCAACACCGTGGCTTAATAACCTGTACTGTGTGACATCTGTCTGTCGAACCTTAGAGCTCAAAGTGTTGAAGGACTGGACCAGCGACCTTCCATCCCTCCTCAAGCTCTCCTTCTTAAGAATGCTTCTTCTTCAGCTGGTGGAGATGTGATCCCCAGCAGACATGTGCTCCATGCTCCGGTTCCCTGCCGTCCTCAGCCAATCAATAGCACTCGTGCTGTCCCATGGCCCTTATCTGAATCATGTGACTGGGTGACTGCAACTGCTGCTGCAGCAGCCAACCTGATGCCACGGCCTTCTTCCAAAACAAACCCACTATGCATTCCCAGCCTGCTCCCAACTAGCCCGAGAAGGCAGAATATTGGGTCCCAATGGCTCAAGCAGAGCACTCTTCAGACCCCTGCTAAAGAGCCAACTGTGGTGTTCAGATTGAGGAATTTGCCAGAGCATGTGGAGAGTCAAACTAAGCCCCAGGAGAAAAAGGAGATCCCACTGCCCAGGGTTGCTGCAGAAGGGCTTAGAGAGGCGTATGAGGGGCCTCTGGACCTGTCGGATCGAGGAAAGTCCAAATCCAACCAAGAGCCAAGAGATGATTCGCCTTTAGCCTTACAAGATGTACCAAGAGTAGAGAAGAGCCCTGACAAGAATGTGAAGGCAGATCCAGCTGCACATGTACCAATATCATCACCTTCACCTGTCATCCCTCCCTCATCCTCCACTACACCACCAGTCAGACAACAAGAGGAGGAACCTACCCTTGATTTTAACCACAAGGTAATGTTAGGCAAGAATCCATAGCCTCAAATGGCAAGGTGAGGCCATTCAACACAGGGGATGCAGTAGAGGGCTGGGTTATTCAGTATCATCATTTTCATTTGCTGTTTTTAGTTGATTTTCAGCTGAAGTAACTGTTTCTGTCTTTGGCGAACCTTTGTGCTTCCCCTGCCCCATCACAGGCATCAACACCTGCAGTTGAGCTCATAAGCAGCTCTGATGAGCGGGATGAGGAGGGTAATGCGTCCAGCCAGAGCTGTAAGAGGAAGCGAGCGTCTGTGGAGACAGAACCCGACAGAGACTCAGACACAGAAGGTAGGCGTCAGCTCACATTTCAAGTCCTTAAGTGCCTTTCTTCCGCTTCTTCCTTTTATCCACTCCTGCTTGGATGTGATCTTCAAGTCAAATCACAATAATAAATCTTTGTCTATAGAAATGTTTTTGGGACTGCTTATATTTTTTGCTTTTTTGTAGGGATATTAATGGGAAGACACCATAGATACGGCTATCATATTTGTCTATTTAAAATGAAGTTACCAGCAGCAGATTAGCTTAGCTTTACATAAAGAATGGAAATAGAGGTAAACAGCTGGCCTGGCTCTGTCCAAAGGTAATGAAAGCCATATGTACTGTAGCACTTCCAAAGCCTGCTATTTAATGCAGTCATGCTGTATCTTTCAGATGTAGTCAATTTAAATCATTACCATCATTTCAGGACCAGTTCCTGGAAATTACTTTGGCTCAGCTACCCATTTCCTTCTGTTCACTCTGTATTTACATGTATAAATGTAGCGTTCATAAAAATTTGGACACAGTTTCTCCATAACCAAAATGAACAGTTTGGAACACTTCCTTTTTTTTTCCTCACAGACATCCGCAATGAAAGGACAATCAAGATCACCGTGAGAACTGAGGAGACAGGCCTGAGCTAAAGAGAATTATATCAGATGGCTGATTCATTTGGTGACCCCACTGAAACTGATTGTTTTGGTGCAGTGCAACAAGATGAAAAGCTAATGAGAAACACCACTGACGTACAGTATCATCACCTTATAAAGTCCTGTGATGTGGAGCAAGATTAGTTTGAATTCTCAATTAACTTCTGGTGGAAATAGTTGGCTCTTTAGCTTTAAATGTTTCACTGTGGTCTCTAGCTAGTCTCTAACACTGACTGTCTGCTGTTTGGTTCTGGGCAGGTAGTGTGCTTTGGGTTTTTAGAGAGGTGAACCAAAACTAAAGTTGTGGGTTGTAACATCAAAACTGTGACTAGGCAAAAATGTCCAGAACCTCAGAAGAACTGCAGAGTTGGTGATAATTCTCTGTGGGTTTGTCATTACAAGCGAATCATTTCACAGTACATGCAATTATTTGATCCAGTAATGTTAATAGAACAGTTTTAGGTATATCAGATTATAAAGTTTGGCATGTTTAAACATCAGGGGTTTTCCCAACCCAACAGGCTCTGTAACAGGCTCCAACTTGAACTGGAATATGGCAATATAAAAGATGAAGGATGGGAAAATAGATGACACCTCTAAATTCAAATGTAGTTGAGGTAATAATGAGTATTTATAAGTATTTTTCCCCCTCAGTTTCATACTGCTTCCTTGATCTGCCACTGTAAAGCAGAACTCAGGGCCTCCTTCTATTGCCACAGTTTCTTTATAAAACCAGAAAACAATAGCGTTTTCAGTAACTGGCATATGCCTTGGTCTGGCTAAGAAAAATCTGAATATGTTAACTGTGACATTCCAGTATTAAGCATAGCTTTTTGTCATGTCAGCATCATATTCTATTGATCACTGGGATTGGTGAAGGACACAAATTCCATTTCCACAGTCACTAACTTCAAAATAGCAGTTAAAATGAAAGCTATCTGACATTAGCATTTACAAAAGCCATTACTCTATTAAAAATTTAACCTTAGCTAAGGTTTAAAGGTGAGTATTATGTGAACACACACCAGCCTTCTGTTCCATGGAGAACTGTGACACAGCCAGGCTTAGAAAGTGCCAAAATTTGCAACCATGCCAGCTCATTTCAAAATGTACAGCTGAATCAGAAGACAAATACAATTACTGAAGGATTTCCAGTAGAAACCTATGAAAAGGTATAACTGGTCAAATTTGAATGATGGTGTGATTCAGTATTTACAGTTATTTATAGTTTTGTCACTTTCCTGGCATTGCTGTCACTGCCTGGCTATTTTTGCCAGAGCCCCCACCCCAAACCTCAACAATTCTTCAGTGACCAACAAAGAAAAACGAGAAAAAAATAAGTTCCTCTTCCTCTTTCTCATTTTCAGAAAGCACATGTTTTGCAAGTGTTAAGTTTCCACTTACAGCTGTGACATGTTAAGCCGGGTGACTGGAGGTGATAAAACAGAGACAGCATTGGTTAAATAATACAGCGCTGTAAAGTCAATATGACCATTTTCTGTAAATACATAACATATTTTTTATGGAGACGCCCCAATCAATAAGCAGAATCAGCCAATATTTATTTAAAATATAACATTATTCTTCTTCCTTTTTTTTCAAAGTTGTGCACTTTTATTATTCTGTGTGTGACTACCCCATTGTATGCGTTTCCATATTGATCTCTGCCGTTTCTGTCTTGTCTTTCTCACGCCATTAAGGTCCATTAAGTACAGGACTCAGTCAGTGGTCAGTGGACAAAATAACCGTTCCCTGCCATTCACATCTTACCTGTAAATTAAACTGTGATTCACTGTGATACTGTAAGTACTGTTTGTGATTTTACAGTATGCTAATCTGTCAAACCAAATAATAGGTATTATGCTTTTTTCAGAATTACATAACACAGGCACTGTTGTTGAATGCACTACTTCTGGATGCTCAAATAAACGTCTGTCCTTGAATGTTGCTTCTGCAGATCCTGATTCATGCTTCATACAAAACAAATTTACCACGGACCTGTTATATACGCAGGCTGAATTATCGGCAGTGAATAATGATGAGGATCTTGGGAAATAGAAGTAACATAATAACTGATGTTTTGCTCAGAATAAAATGTAAAATAGTTGTGGTGTGATGATTGGAGATGTAGAAAGCAGTGGAAATTCCCAAAAGTTAGTCAATACATCTTAACTAGTACAGGAAGTCTGCTCTGTCAGGGTCAGCATACTGTCAAACCATTCTATTCACAAAAAAGGTTACACAAGTTTGCCTCCAGTGGCCCCTCCTCCATCAGATGTTTAGATAAAGTTACTGTACAATTGTGAGTATAAACAATAATTGTTTGAAATACAGCAGAGCATATGATGAACGTTTTTAAAGATATTGTAGAGTTACTCTGGTTGCTCTGATAAAATTTGGTTTTATTGTCACATCTCCACCCACAGAAAGTGATAAACTGAAACTGTGTCACTGTGGGCTAACTTTGTTCTCTTTTACATTAGTCCTCATTTTAATGTAGATTTCACCTCTGCATGGACTACAAGGAAAGGTATTGTTATGCTAAAACACCAAGTGCAAATGTTAAAACACTGAAATGTTGTTATTTAGATACAGTTTCATTCTGGTATTCAGAAATATCACAACAGCTGTAGCATGTTGTGCCTGCTGAGGAAACTGCCAACCAACCCGTCTATAGCTACTAAGGGATGCACCTGTCATGATTCCCTGCATGTCCTGTTTTGAACTTTTATTTTGAAGCCATTTCCTGTCATGTGCCACCCTCACCAGCCCTAGCTTCACTCTGCCCCTGATTGACTTATATTACATACAGCTGTTGCTCTTTATCGCTGCCTGGCTTGCCTTTAAAATCACCTCACCTCCCTCAGCTCATTGTCAGTGTTGTGTTTGTCCTCTGTGCATGGCCCCTGTTGGCACTGGTCCGCTCCTCTGTTATTGCCTGTTCTGGCTCTCAGTTTCTAATTTAAAGACAATGCTGGCCTGGGTTTTTGCCCCAAGCTTTGTTAACCTGTGAAGAGTGTTTATGTTACTTGTTAACCTTTTTAAAATGAATGTTTTAAGTTGCTCACCTGTAAAACTGCAAAGAGTGTTTGAGTTATTCAGTATTTACCCTATGAAGAGTGTTTGTTATTCACCTTGAAGGAGATTTATTTTCCTGTAAACCTATATAAGCATTCAAATTAAACACCCTGTGAATCACAGGAAGATTTTGTTACTTGCCTAGTGGACTTGTTAAGAGACTGAAGTTAGTCAGCTTTGTTATTTGTTGTGGTTCCGGTTCCAAGTACTCCATTAAGTACCACCCCTGCTCTGCCTGCCCTGTGAACCGTCCCAAGTCAAAACAGGTGAGTTCTGCCTCAAGTACAACAAGAACAGTATTGCTTCAAGGCAAAGCCCAATCCTCAATCTTTTGGGTTTCATGTCCTAAATACATACTGTATTTTCCATAGAATTAGACCATAAATAATGATTAATAATCTAGAGTCTTCACTGGATTGAAAAACTGACTGCCCAGTCTCTACTTTGAGGGTTTTGCTTTTTTTTTAGGTTACACTAAAATAATTCATACAAAATGGATATATACAACTACATCAACAAACTAGGAAATGGTCACAAAAGCCAGGAAGTGAGCCAAAAAAGTCTTGCTAGAACTGCATCCAAAGATGCAAATATACCAGTGTCCCAAAGAGCTGGCGTGCTATCCAGAGGGAACTAATCTCACCACTATCAGGTCATCAGAGCAGGTCAGGGAGCGCCTGTGAAGTTTGTTAAGGTAAAACACACCTGCTGTTGAAAGATTTGCATGTCAACCACTTGAGCTGTAATAACTAGCAGCGGATCTTTAACCTAGTTAGAGAGGAGCTCCTTTTTTTCACACTAGAAAGCCACAAACGCCGGTCTGTCTGGGTAAAAGGCTCATTGTGCCAGCATCCACACAGCAAACAAAATCGGGTCATCTGCACCTGTGTACAACTGCTGAACACAAATTATTTCTGTTATCCCCCATGCTGGGATTTTAAAAAAATATATTTGGTATTATCTGTCACTAATCTGAAAACTCTTATAGTCTACTTTAGTGTATTTTTTTCTTATCTCATTCTTAATCTCATCTCTCTCATTCATTCCCTCCCTCCATCACAACAAGCCTGGGTTTCAGAGGGAACTTGGTTTCTAATCCTGGCTGTTGATAAAGGATTACAGCCGAACAGTCGGGAGCTTTTTCTGATGCGTTATTGCCAAACTTCTGTTGAGGCCCTGGGGCTGAAACGCCCACGCCTGCCCGCCTCCGCCCAGAGGACGCACTGAGCATGATAGCTGTCAAACTACAATTTGAATAAGTGTTTGACAGCTCTCCAGCACACCGTGCAATTGTATCCGCATATCTGTCTATGCACCTAAGGCATCCATCCATTTATCCGTTCTTCCCTCTAGCCAGCCTCCATCTTCAGCAGAGCCATAAATTAGGCTTCACTACTACATTTTGGCATACAACTGTACATAATGGCAGTACTGTCTTCATTTGTGTTTAAATCTAAATAGGCTATAGTTTGTTTAAAATGTTTCTACTGTCCACTTCCTTAACGCGTTTTCTTTTTTTAATTCTGACTCGAACAGCAACTTTCTTTTCTCCACTTCATCAAAGTGCCACAGAAAAAGCAGCTGGGGGAAAAAACACAGCAGTTGTTTGAGCCGGCGAAACTAAGAGCACGGATGGCGTGAGCTTGTTCCTCTTTTCATCCACTCAGCCAGATACGCACAGCTCTAACTTCCTCCTACAAGTCCAGTGCGCTCCGCTCCGTCGCCCCGTTAACATCATCAGTCTAACCCAAAGGAAGAAGCGACTGTAAAGAGATGGAACCTACTTAAAATGAAACGAGGAATATTATTTCCATAGTCCGAGTCTAGACGCTCAGAAATAACCACAGAAATAAGAGTCGAAGTGACTGGTTGAAGCGCGGTAAGTGTCCTCTTATCTGTGTTTGTTGGTGGGGGAAAGGGAGTAGCCAAACTGCGTGAAAGATGGTTGTAAGAAAAATGAATTGGCTATGAAATAAGTGTCTCTTACAGATTTAGGGAAGGGTAAGAAAGTTATGGTTTGCTGGTAGACAAATTAACGCATATAGTAGTTGCAAAAAGAGGAACTTCGATGTCTGAGTTGAAACAACCACCGCCTATAAGTCACTGTATATATAATGTAGACGACCTGGCAAAGAGTTAAAGTTGTCAAATGTGAGTTTTTGTCCCAGTGAGGGGATTTTGGCCGGTCCTCATTTTCTGAAACAATTATTGAATTATTGAAACCCCAACTTTTCAAACGTTCATGGTTGGTTGCTTTGAGAGAGAAGCCAAACCTGAGTTTTGAGGTCAAAAGTACCTTCCTGTAAAAAGTCACAACAACAAAAATCTATAACTAATACTGTGTGTACAAAATGTAAAACTTTCTTTATGACCCTATTCTAAGTTAAGGTTGCAATTAATTGCATGATTGTTTATTTCATTGATTATTTATTCCCTTATTTACAGGTGTGGTTAGTAAAATGTCATAAAATAGCAGCAAACTGCCCAAGGTGATGTTTTATGATGTCTTATTTTGTCTATTTAACTGTGCAAAGTTTACAATGACATAAAACAGAGAAAAGCAGCAAAGCCTCACATTTTCAGAACCAGAATTTTTGGCACTGTGTTTGATGACTGGCACAGCTGATCAATCTGCTATAAAAGATAGTTGCTGATTTATTTTCTATTGATTAGTCAATGTCTTGCAGATGTCATACAACATTGTTTTCTGCCCACAAACAATTTACATAATCTCATATGTGACTATAGGCATATTATGTTAAACTAGAGTAGAAATCATGTCAAATATATGAAATGTTTACAATCATATACCTAAAAACACACATTGTATGTTCATATGCAAAGTGTGTGAATTGTAATTTTAAAAAAAATTATCGGTATTAGTTTTTCTACTGTATCAGTTGGTTTTCTGTCAAATAAATCTTGCCGATAGTGCCAACATCTGTCACATTGTAGCACAAATGGTGCAGAAGCCCCATGAGGTTTGACAAACAGAAGTTAAACTGACTATTGGTTGAAACACCCTGTAGTCCAGAGACTTATGAAGATGAGCATCAGAGGTTCAGGAGCAGGACCATGCCCCTAACGCACGCCTTCCCCTGCTACCTGCCTATAAATACTTCCACTCTCTAGCTGCAGTGTGTTTTTGTTTCCTGTTAATGGCACCTGTAGTCTGGCTTGCTCTAACCATGCTCACTTTCTTCAGTATTTGTGGACTCCATCTTCTGTTCTGCTGCAGCAGATGAACTGCTGTCCCTCATGTGTGGTCTTCATCTTCTTCTGCCAGCATTCTTACCACATGCTGGGCCTCCACCAGTTGCTGAGATGCTGTCTAGCTCTGCCCATGCTGCAGGACTCCATCCAGCATGGTGGGCCACCCTTCAGCCTCCCAAGCCGGGCCACGGCTGGTTCTTCTTCTGTTTCTGCTTTTCCCCTTCTTTCTTGCCCAGGCGCTGAGCCGCCTCCTCCTCTTCTGTTGTCTCTCCCGCTCCTTTCCTCCTTTCTATCTTATTCTGGAACCAGGCTACGTGACTGTGTTTACTCCCTTTCCTGGCACCGAGCTGCCATTTCTCCTTTCTTTCGCAGTCACTGGGCTTTCTGCGGCCTTCTCGTTCTGTACCAGTACCAGGTTGCAATCTGCTTTCTCCTCCGCCATCTCACTTGTTCCCCTGACTGAAGCTGCTGCCTTGCCTCCAGTGGCCCCTCCTCCATCAGCAGTTGGTACTTTCAGTGCCATCACCCTGCGGCCATCTTTTCCTGTTCTGCCTGCCTCTTCGGGGGAGCCATCTGCGACTTCCTGTTTTGTGTCCCCTCCTTCTTCAGGTTAATTCCTCAACTCCATGGTGTTATCCTGCCTGAACTGGCCCTCCTCTGTTCGGGCCTCCTCCATGGCCATCCACTTTTCCTGGCTGCTCTCTCAGTGGGTTTCTGGAGGCTTGTAGAGCATGACATTGTTTGCTGATTCTTGGCCTATGGTTCTCCAGTCTCACATTCAGGATCAGAGCAACAACCCCAGCAGCCAGTAGGGTATACCAGACCACCTTGCAAAGATCAAAGGATGAAGGGCCTTCCGTGCCTACCAGCAGTACATCCACTCAATCCTCAGCATCTCTCCTCTTCATAGGAAGGTCTTCTGGGGGATCCGCCACATGGATTAACCAGAAGCCTGTAATAATCACCAAGCAGAATAAGCACAAAGTTCTACGTAGGCGTGGTCCTGACTCTTTTTCTGTTGATAGGTAACTTAATAACAATTCAAGTAGCAAGTAAAAGCTTGGGACAGTTTTCTGTCTTTCCTTCCTTATAACTGTGTAATGTCCTGTTGGTTGCATGGCAGAATGGCAGGCGATGTTATGGCCTGATAGGTGCAGACACAGCTGGGACACAGACACTGTAGGGATGCAAACTTTCACAGCCCACACCATTTACATCTGATGAGAAAAATCATCCCTCATAAAGAAGGTGTTATTATGGCATTTAGCTAAGTTGACAGATAGGAACTGGTACCTGTTCACTACTTGGACAGATGCAGGTGCAGATGGACATCCTAGGATAAAGATGTGACATGTAAGACAGTAATGCTGCAATGCATGTTTGGATTGTTTTGAGCCTTGTCATGCTGTGGCCTTCAGTCAACAGCACATCAATGTCTACTTGTTCTCCACACACCCTGAAACCTTGTGCTGACTGCAGCTTATGCTCTTATAGATTTATTGCTGCACAGCCTGGAATAGTGGAGATGTACTAGAATATTTGGGTTAAATAATAAGTAAATAATATTCTATAATAATATAGTAAACTATATTCTTCACTGTAAAAACTGCAACTTGTATTCTTTGGCATAAATAACAGTTCAAGTTGGTAAGACATAGAAAATTAAATTATCAGTAAATCAATAAAAAAATCTAATTGTGTCAACTAACCAAGCTCATCTGCTACTTCAACAAAAGTGAGTAAGTCCTGATAAATTTGAATCTTAAACTGATTCAGACTGAGAAGGTTCTGCTAACTAGTTTTTTTTTTAGTTGGAGAATAGAGGAAACAAATTTACTTAGTTTAACTTAAAATCATGAGTTCAGTTGAGCAAATGTACAATGAAATGTTTATTTGACTAAGTCATTTAAACAGATTGTGATCTTATTTGCATATACTTCATCAAGGTTAAAATTCTCCAGATTGTCCTTCTATTTTGTCACATAAAAAATTACATGATGGAAGTCTTTCAGTTTCTCTTTATATTTGTGTCCCAGAGGAGCAAGAAGGTTTTCTGTCTAACTAAAATGAAAACACTGAAGACAGTGATGAAGGGTCTCCATGTCAGACATGTCCTGTACTGTTCTTATATAAATCACTTTAGTCTTGGAGATCATTTGGAGGATACAGACTTGTAATAACTGCTATCAATGCAGCAAAAGCTGCCATGACAGACACAGATTATTACCCCCAGTTAAACTCCTAAAGAATACAAACTTGGTTGCAAACTAAGAGTTTTGAATGGACACAGCTCACAGATTTGAGTTACTTCAACTTTGTGTAAATTGACAGAATCAAAGATTCTGATCATGTAAAATATTATATTGCTTTAATTTAGAGTACATCAAAATTAAAAAATTTAAGTTGTATGAACTCAAAACCTACACTTAAAAAAATAAGCTTGTTTAACTCAAATTTCCTTTTTTACCATGTTCATTGGAAATTGAAATTATTTTACAGTCTGCATATTTTTATAATTGATAGTTTACTGTGAACTTCTACTACAGAATCACACTTCCTCCTGTTATAACTCCTCAAAATTCTATTTAACTAGGTAAGTGCTGTTTGTCACTTTGATAGAGACTAAGGCTGAGATGTAACCCAGCTCCTCTGGAAGGGGCTGTGAAGTTCAGCTGTGTTTCTAAGTGGGACTGGTGTCCTGATTTTGCATCAGCAGTGCTCTTGAAAAGTACAGAGCTTATTTTAAAGTGCGACTGTACAACTTGAAAATGAAATAGCCTAACACATTCTTCCTCTTTCAAGTGAAAAGTTGAAGACATAAGCAATTGAGCAAATCCTTGTTCCACCCTTCAGGTTTTCACTGCTACAGCAGAACTTAGTTTGGTTTGAAACGGAATCTTATGGCGGCTAATATTAGATAATATGAGCAGACTTTAGGTATTGTTGTGTAGCTGACATCACTGACTTTGTCACTCACTTTCTACCTGTGCAACTTTATATTACATTTTAACATGATAAGTAAACAGGATGACATGAAGCAGCTGACCCAAAGGATTCCTGGAAAATTAAGTTAGAGTCGTGCTATTTTCTTGGAATTATCACTTATGGCTACACATTGTTTAGCAAAAGTTGCCCAGTCTTGCTTTGAACCAGCATATCAACATACTGGGAAATGTGCTAATTCATTTTCTTCTAAGAGCTATATAATAATTAACAAACTCCCTGTCATATGTCCGGAGTCTTGCCAGCAGCTACTGTCCAAAAACAGCCTGCCACATCATGCTATAAAACCACTTTTTAAAACAGATTATAATTATAACAGGTTAAGTAATGAGCTGTACAGGTGTTGGTGTTAACTGTGTACACATCGAGGCTGGCTATTTCCCATGTTTCTGGTCTTTGTGCCAACATAAACTAGCCAGCTGCTGGCCTTAGCCTTTTATTAATGTACATATCAAGTTTCTCATGAAACTCCAGACAAGAAAATGAATGAGTGTATTTCCCCAAATATATAACTGTTTTTTCAAGTGTCGTTACAACTCCACACTTTTTTTTTTTATCCTTTTGGTCACATTGAAGCTCATGCTGTTGCGTGACATGAGAGGAAACGTCAAACTGTGTACCACAGGCTAATTTACTACCCAGCGAGTTGAAACGCATGTTGGCTGGTTTTTCTGCTGCTAGAAATCAGACGCTGTTGGTGATGACGTAGGATGATTTAGGATTTCCCTTTACATAGATGTTTCTTTTGAAATAATTGTGAAATTAGCACAGTCTTGATTCCACTGATGGATGGCACAGAGCAAGATGCAAATAGAAGTAACCGATTTGACGTAAGCTGGATGCCGCTGATGTGAAAGATCTATTTTTAAGAATGTTATATAAAGGAGGAGAACAGACATGAGAGATGAGAAACCGAAGCATAGAAGTGAAACTGTCAGACATGAGCAGTTTCTTATAGATTTATCTTTCGCATCCTATATTGTTTGGGATAATGGGACTTTATAGGCTTAATCACTCATGTTTGTTTTAACATCTGAGCAGAGCCAGTGAGCTGTTTCTAGTTCTTATGATAGGCTAAGTTAACTGTCTGCTTCTGTCTGTGGTCTTTATTTTCTCATTTCACTCTCTGAGAGAAATCAAGTAAGTGCATTGCCCAAAAACAGTGTTGAACTATTTCGTCACCATTATGGATTTTTAAATAATTTAATAGGATTTCCCCCTAATACTGTAAGTTTCCATTAGGTGAATTTTAAGTTGAATATTAAAATGCTGTCCCTAGAGGATGTGTCATGCAGTGAATCATCCCGTCCCATCCATTATGACAGATGAGTAGTAAAGTAAATACTCTCCTTTCATAAGGTCAGCATGTCTGAACACTATTATAATGTTTGTTTGAGGCCAGTACTGACAATATCTACAATAATGCAAAGGAGCAGATCAGCCTGGCCAGGCTCTAACACGCATATGCAAAGATGTGTGAATAAACCTGTAGAATCCCACAGTGAAAAATGTAGGCCTACTGAAAGCAACACATGCACCAAGATCCCCTCATTTTTCTTCAAACTAAAGCTCATGTCATCCACATAATTAGAATGATACTATAATCTCAAAAGAAAATAGCCACGGTCTAAGTTATAGTTTTGATATGAACATTCAGTCAAATGATGCTGTATTGAGCTGGTACCAACATCCCAGTCGGCAGCTTTATGAAGCTTTCTTCCACTGTAATGGTTTTGTTCCACTAAATCTCACTCACAATAAAAGCTTGATAAGATACGATAATTTTTTGTCCTGTTCATATTTGCCAAGTGCTGCAACTTGTGTGTCTTTGTTCAGGCTGTTTGAACGTGTGGATTTTATTTGATGTGTTCTGTAGCTGTTTACACCCTGATTGTGGCAAATCCATGACAGATGCATTTTTACCGTTAGCTCTGTGCTGATGTCAGGGAGCCTTGTCTGTTCATTGCTTAGAAGAGGAATTGTGCTACAGTTTTAAATAGAAATCAGAAATGACCTGCCTTTGATTGGACATCAGAAAGGGGAAGAATGTTTGGAACAGACAGAAAAAGGAAGCAAATACATGAACGCTACAAATTTTGACCTCAAGAACACTGGAATGTCCTAAATGTTAAAATGAAACATTTTCAATTGCTTACCACTGTTAACGAGTGGCAATAGGGCAGTATAGTAATGATAAAAACATTTATCCGTGCTGGTGTTTCCCGATTCTTCTGATTTGAGATTAATATATACCCACTGAGCATATCAGTTGCCATGTGATCTCTGGTAACTGAGCTCTTGTTGTTTAGTGCTCAGATTACTTCCTTTTGTTGCATTAAGTGCATTAATCTACTTCTCTGAATTGAAGGCAGATAGGTTACACAGAATAAATCTGTCTTTTATGTCCTCCTCATGTGTGTACATGAACCAACATGCATTAGAAACACTGCCTCCATCTCCCATCACAAACTCCTTCTTTGTTCTCGTGCTTGTTAAACCTTGTTCCATATTAACAGCTGCCTAATAAATTTCCCTGTAGATATGCAGATGCAGGGTGATACAATGTATTCCCTAGGTCTTATCAATGGATAAGGGCCCTTGAGCGGAATAAATTGTTGCCACACTAGATATGAAGACCTTACAGTGTTCATTCTTAGAAGATCTTAATGATACATTAGAATTACAACAGCAGTAGTTTGGCAGCAGTCAGGCTGCTGGTATCTTTAAAAACCATTAAGTCAGAATAAACACCAGTGATGCAGAAACTACAGAAGCATGGCCCCTCCCAACAATCATACCGTCATGTTGTTACAAGGCATCTCTGACTTCACAGTCTTCTGCTTGTAAGAATATCAAACATCATGTGGTGATGTTGGTGGTGATTTCCACCAGCTGAAAAAAAGATTGTCTCAGCTCTGTGTGACAGTTTGCAAATAGGTGCACAGTAGAGGTCATATTCTGCATTGTAAGCATGATACTAATTAAATTAGATTGGTTTTAAAATGGCTACTTAAAACACCAAGAGAATCAAAAATGAAAGAAATGGACGATGACACTTAATGCCTAATAATGGGCAAATACAATAAAGAACAAAATGGTAATAAGTGAATGTACAAATGATCCTAAAAACACACTACACCAAATAATCTAGTTACTTAAAAGTATTATGTCAAACTTAAAATTAGTTATTGGTGTTCTTTAACCAAATTTAAAGAGTAACTTATGAGTTCTCCTCCAGTTTAGCATTGCACCCCATAACTCACAATGAACTTTTTTTTCTCAGAATCTATGCAGCATATATCATCTTTATGATTTCACACTTTTTTTGTCCAAACCTATCAGCCACATTACCCAGAATGCAGTCTGACCACCAAAAAATGGTTGAGTTTGTTTGCCGTTACTGAACTTTAATTATTCTCAGTTGTTATCTACATGATTAAACCATAAATATGACTGTCTTGAGTTAAACGCGGTCCTTACCTTAATAGAAAGAAGATTGTCTCAGCTCTGTGTGACAGTTAATAGAAAAATAGAATAGAATGAATTATATTACACACACACAAGGAATTTGTTTCCAGTACAGAACCGATGGCTTTAACCATTGGGGGCAACAGGGGGGGTTTAGTGTCTTGCCCAAGGACACTTCGACACGTGGACCGCCGGCACTGAGACTCGAACCTCCAACCTTGTGGTTGGGAGACGACTGCTCTCCCCACTGCACCAAAGCTGGGGAACAATAGTCCGTATAAGATGGCACCACGGTCGCCACCCCAAAGTCTATCTCTCAAACAGAGCTATGCCGTAGTGCCTTCAGGACCTAGTTATTGATCTGTATGTTCTGTAGTAACACCTAGGTCAACAACTGCAAGAGGATTCCACATACAGCACATTAAGGATTATTACAAGCAATATCAAAAGTACAAGGAAAGAACTAGGAAAGAGCTAGTTTTATATCCACTCCTAGTATTTGACCAATGCTGTCTCTTTTGTAATGTTCAAAGGTCATTTACTGCTTTAATTGTTGATGTATTAAGTGTACAAGAATGCAATTCATAACCTGTTCATAACTTGATCCCAGAGGTTCAGGAAGCAAGAAGTGTTTGTCACAGAAGCTTGAAATTAATAATTAATGATTCAATTCCATATTTTTCTCAGCTAAAATCCCTTATTCCTATATTGTATATGAGGTTTATGTTCGGTAGTAAATGGGTGTGACATTCAATAAATTCCAGTATTCCCAGAATAACTTTGCCTTGTCCTAACTATCACATTTAACATCCCACTGACATGTTCTTGTTGGTATCCATAGCCTTCATGTTGTGTTGTTTCTCCACTGCTGTCCTCTTGCAGAAGGCACCATGGGCTGTGTGGGCTCAAAGGAGGAGGAGCCGGCTATCAGCAAAGGGACGAGCAATGAAAAGCTGCAGAACCGAGCACAGGTGGCCCACTATGTCAAAGACCCCACCACAGTGAACAAAGCTGTAAGCAGTAACAGTGTGACAGAAAAAAATAGTTGTGTTCGTTCTTTGGATCTTCCTGTAATCTTTGCTTTTTGGGGGTATCATTTCTCTTTGGATCTTAAATCTGACAAGGGGCTTTTCCTCAAGCCCCAAAAAGTTGGGAACCACTGCTTTAATCTTTAGAAATGTATTGTAGGTCATTGATCTGAAAAACACTGCTGGGAGAAAATCATAATGGAATAAAAAGTACTAAATGTTCCCTCTGGTATGTAGTGAAGTCACAGCATAAGAAACATCACAAGGAAATGCTGTACTTTAAGTACAATACTTGAGCAAATATCACATTCTAATCACATTCCACTACTGAACTTCAGTTTAGATGTTTAGCCTCATTATATGAGACCAGAAAGTGGTGAGGTTTTCTTGTTAATTAAAATGGACACTCAAACGCAGACGTGCCCTGGTTTTAAATAAAGAATGATGGTGTCAAATGTAAAAACAGTGAAAGAGAAAGCCAGTTTGATTGGCTGGTATCACAAATGACAGGAGACAGTTATTCTTGTTAACATGCTAGTTGCGAGTTTGCATACTGGCCAGACTTTGATCAGTGACGTGTGTAAAGTGGTAGCGCTGCTGCATGCTAAGTTAAGTGTGGTTCCTCTGACTACTGCTTCCTATGCACCGACTGTAACATCTCTTTCACCCTCGGTGAAGAAAGAGGAAGCGACAGAAGCAGAAACAGAGCACTCAGATAGACATGATCAAAACTTTAGTGTGAAGCAACTCCAACACCACACATACTGTACTGTATTTCATGATCTCACACATGTCTAAATTTACAGCCAGACTGACAATTGAACTGTCGCCTGCAAGTGAAAGAGCTCTAAAAATCCACTGTACACTGCTGCCCCAGCACCAGTTGGCAGGCTGAGTTACTGTAGCACCTGTCTGGTGGAGCGAACAGAAAACATAACAGGGCCAGATATTTTCCTCGGGAGCTGGTGGAGACTAAAGAGAGAGTGAATACTGAACTTACATTATTCAGGTGACCAGAAACCCGGCTCCAAGTGAATGCTAAAACCAGGAATGCTAATTTTCTTCCTGTTTGCACAGACCCCAAAGAGCTAAAAAAAAAATGCAGCTTTAGGAAGTTTTTTTCATTTTTCACTTTGAACTGAGCTTTTCTCTTAGCCTTATGTCTCCATATGTCTCTGTTTGACTCTACAGAGTAAAATGCCACCCAGTGCAAACGCTTCAGATGGTGAGTGATAATTGTTGTTTACATAATACAGTTCTCCCACATAGTGCACATTATGCATTGTAACCTTTAGTACTTATTCTTGATTCTGCCTTATATTGTAAAGTCAGCCACTAAATGTAGGTTTATTTCTAACCTCCCACCTTGTACTGTCAACACTAGAAAGTCCTGTATTTCTACAAAGCAGTCACTGCAAATAGCGTCATGTACGACAGTGCAGCTAAATACAAAAAAAAAAAAAACAACAAAAAGCTGTCTGATGCTCAACGACATGTGAGAGAGAGGAAGGGGAGTCAGTGTGTGGGTATCAGGCGATAGCCCATCTCACCGCCTCACCACACAAGCCTTCAATTCACAGACCAGCCTTACTGCTGTTATTATCAAGCATACAAGGAAGTCAGTTACACAGTCTAAGTATTGAGAACCCAGTGTTAGTTACAAAGACAGATGCGGTTCAGACTTGTGTCAACTAACACAACATGCACAGAAACCTATTCACTGCAGTCTTTCACTCTCACTCTTACTATCACATGTACACACCTACATATCAGAGATGCTGGATGAAAACCTCATGAAAATGTAAACTCTTCAGGTGCCAACATAAACAGGCTTGGTTTCAGCTTCATGATCAGTTTTGAATCGTTCTAACAAGCACAAAGACATTAAGCCATATGTTCTCAGAATGTAATCCTACAGAAAGTACGCATAGTTATAGCGTTCACAAGACAATGAAAAAGGAGCATATTTAGCACTCTATCAAGACCACAATGTATCAACATGAGGCCTTTTGCTTTTCTTGCTGTAGGAGGGACTATTGCCATGGCACTCTATGACTATGAGGCCATTCACGAAGGAGACCTTGGGTTCAAGAAGGGAGATAAACTCAAAATCTTAGAGGAGTAAGTGGACTATCAGCAGCAAGAAAGGCTATTTTATTTTTTTGTTGCTTCAGTTATGCAAGCAATAAGTTCACTGTGTGTTCCAAATTTAGTTTTTGGACTTGTCAGACGTGGTAAAGAAATATTCACAAGTGATGTCTTTTTTCTTTCTCTCTCTCTCTCTCTCTCTCTCTCTCTCTCTCTCTCTCTCTCTCTCTCTGCAGATCAGGGGAGTGGTGGAAAGCTATGTTAATCAGTACAGGTCAGGAAGGCTACATCCCCAGTAATTATGTAGCCAAAGATACTCTGCAGGCAGAAGAGTAAGTGTATCTGGTGAAGACTGAATATTAAATTAGTTAATTGATGCAGCTGTCAAATTCATTAGTTGCATAATTATTCTTAGATATAATAGTAAATATGAATACTAAAAGTAGTATTGTCTTTTATTCATATCACACTTTTTGTCATTTTTTGCAAACTAATAATGAACAAGGAAACAATGACACAGTATGAATGAAGAACCATTAAGAATCTGGTGTATTAAGTGATCTGTTTCCTGTTGTTGAGGTGGTTCTTTAAGGCCGTGAGCAGGAAAGATGCTGAGAGGCAGCTGTTGGCCCCTGAGAACAAATTGGGATCCTTTATGATCCGAGACAGTGAGACCACCGTGGGTGAGTGAAACTTGTTCAAACACAGATTCTTTTTCCTTTAGTGGAGAGGTTTATGTAGTTATAAACAAATTATTCACAGCCAAAATCCTAACAGGCAAATTAAACATTTGGGGTTTTTAACAGAAGTTAACTTCATTTTATTTCTTACACCTCGCACATTTCATGTCACTGCAAATGCATGCAAGTGTATAAAGCAAACGATCAAAGAATTTCTGTCAGGAGGCTTTGGAGACCTGACCTACAAGGACATTTTTCAGGTTGCAAGAAACACAAATCCAAATGAATGCTAATGCTGCTCAGTGTTTACTGGACATGTAAAGAGGCAACTGTTCGCTAACACATCAGCCAAATAAACCTCACTCTGATAATGTGACAGTGTTGTGTTCACAGCTTGTTTCCACTGTCCCCAAGAAACTAAAAATGTCAATTTTTGTTAGTGAATTCTTAATTTAAAGGCTGTATACATTCTAAATCCTCCAATCCTGATCAGAAATGGTGGGGAGTTTAAAGGGACACTACGCCAGTTTTGACTTGTAACATTTACTCGCCCTGAGAAGTACCACTTAAACTGCTAAAACAGTTGTGTGATATTCTGTGGCTCTGGATGGAGGCTTCTCATGTTTGCAACTCCAGATTTTTATTTCAACTTTGAAATTGTCACATGGTAACTGCCATTGTCTTTCTCTTTACCCACAGGCAGCTATTCTCTGTCTGTCAGGGACAGCGATGGCAAGGGCAATGACACCGTTAAACATTATAAGATCCGTACGCTGGACAACGGAGGATTCTACATCTCCCCCCGCATCACCTTCAGCACCCTGCAGGAGCTGGTCAGCCACTATAAGAGTGAGTTCACTACTGTCACAGTTCAGACTGTGCGCAGTTTGTCATTTCCTCACTGCTGTGTCTTAGTAGTCTAGCTGAGCTGTTACCTGTCTTCATTAAAACGATGATGTATGGAACTAATACGGAGTCCTCGGCCATCTTAAGAGGTCATTTCTCTCACATTTCACTGTTAATGGTCTCAGAAAAGAGTGACCTCAGTTCAGTCTGTGTTCCAGCGCTAAATGCTTGAGGCACTGCGCTCTCTGCTGGCTGACTTAGCAACCTTTATGAAACATTACAGAGGCAGTTGCTAAATCAGTTGATTGTACTGCTCTTTGATTAGAAGTAGCAGCAATATAAAAGTGTTCCTTTTTTTTGCCAACCACGTGCTGAATTTATTTGTGAAATTATACTCTTTTCCTCACAAATTAGAATAACGTTGTTGTGAGTCACAGCAAATAAAAACATTACATAAACTGAAAAAAGAACTTTTGACCAAGTTAACAAAGTGAAATCATGAAATCATTTGTTCTGCTTTTCCAGAGCAGGGAGATGGCCTCTGCCAAATCCTGACCAAGCCGTGCCTGAGCCTCAAACCTGAGAAGCCATGGGAGAAAGATGCCTGGGAAATCCCAAGATCATCTCTCAAGATGGAAAAGAGGCTTGGTGCCGGCCAGTTTGGAGAAGTCTGGATGGGTGAGATAGACCGGAATCATTTTAGAATCTAGACAGGATGGAGGTTTGATGGAGATAGGAAGCTAGCAATTTTATTATCTAATTGTATTTATTGTTTTGTTTTAAGCTACATACAATAAGCACACCAAGGTGGCAGTGAAGACCATGAAGCCAGGCAGCATGTCAGTGGAAGCCTTCTTGATGGAGGCCAACCTGATGAAGACTCTTCAGCATGACAAACTGGTCCGACTTAATGCTGTGGTCACCAAGGAGGAGCCTATCTATATCATCACTGAGTACATGGAGAAAGGTACAGCCTGGCTGTCTGTACAAGCACTTGTGCTCAGTTGCTGTGTTCTTTTCATTTAAGTCAGTGATAGCTGCACCTCCTTTGCTTAAAAAAAACGTATTTAGGGGAAACTCAAGCAAATCACAAGTCGATGATTCCCCATCAGGGGTGCTTGTATCCCATGGGATACTTTTGCAATTGGCAAGAAGTATGTGGAAAAACTGCAGGGTAGGTCAGCTAATAAAAAAAAACTGAAATCAGAATTTGAATCATCTGTAACACTTGAATACTGCATGTTGCATTTGAGAATGTGTGAAAAGTTGCAGGTAGAGGAGTCTTGAACAGTTGGTTCAAAGTAACAGATAAATTGTTGAAAATGATTGCTAAAACTACAGATAGCTATGAATCAGCTGCTCAGATAGTTTGCTAAAAGTAATGGACAACCTGTTGCAGTAGTTAGCTAAAAGTAGCAAAGATCTGAAATAGTTAAACAACGGTTTATGTAAATTACTAGCACTAATGGTTAAAATACCTAATGAAGGAATGTAATAGCTGTAGGTAATTGAAAAAGTTAGCCAAAAGTAAGAGAAATGTGTTTGACATATGTGGCTACATGTTATGAATAAATTGTTCAGATAATTAGCTAAAAGTAATAAACATAATTTGACATTAAATTAATTACTTAAAGGTATTGAAGCTATGGCTGTAATAGTTACAGTATAGATATTTTATCCTGAAGTTATACTGTAGGTTACCTAAAAGTAATGGGTAAGTGGTTACAGTAATTAGCTAAACATAGTAAGCCACTGAAATGTACCAGCTTCTGCTACTCCAAATGGTTGTAGTAACAACAGCAACTTTTTTATAGTTGCAAGTGTAAAATCAAGTCAGATGAGCGCATTTTGGAACATGCTGGGTTGTGTCGATAAAGACAGTACTGAAATTCATTTGACTGGGGTGTGCAAGTATATCAGACAAAACTGATGTTTGTGTGTGTTTACAGGTAGTTTATTAGACTTCATAAAGACTGATGAGGGCAACCGTGTCCAGCTCCCCAAGCTCATTGACTTCTCTGCCCAGGTGAGATTCATCATCGGTCCTCGGTCCAGACGTTGGCATGTGTAGAGCTACACTGACAGTAACAAAACATCTCACTCATTAGAAAATCTTCAGTCAGATAGTTTGAGGGAGTTGGTACCCTGCTGCATGTGGTGCTTTTCATTTAATACAAAGAACTAAGAGGGAAGTGAAGAGGAAGAAACTTAGATCTGCTTGTTGTGTTGCAGTCCATCTGATTATCATCAGATGGTGAGACTGTTCTAACACACAAGAAGGCAGTATATTTGTGAATAAATTATCATGCACATTATAGCAAATGTCTTTTGCTTTTACTACCAGCAGTGCAGTTTACTGATAGATTTTGTTTCAGCTCTGTTTCTAATATACAGTATCCAGTGTCTGAGAATATGGAAGTGTGTCTGTTTTAATAAGGAAATGCTGCTAATGTGGAAGAATCTGTTTCTGCTTGTTTTGTACAATGTCACTGCTGATAACGGTAACTATTGTGACCTATGCTTTGACTCTTTAACACTGACCTGTCTCCAGATTGCAGAGGGCATGGCCTACATTGAGCAGAGGAACTACATCCACAGAGACCTGAGAGCTGCCAACATCCTGGTCAACAAGGCTTTAGTGTGCAAAATTGCTGACTTTGGCCTCGCCCGTATCATTGAAGACAATGAGTACACAGCCAGAGAAGGTACAACACAATACTCACTGTCGTATGTTGTACAGCCTGGTATCATCAGCAGAAGAGATTAAGAAACTGTGGAACTTGTAACATGGGAGGTGCACAGTTTCACCAGTTCTTGGGAAAATACTGTGTCTCAGTTAGATGTGTGATTACAACATGAGTGACAAAAATAGTAGAGAGAAGAAGAGAGTGACTTGCTGTGTGGTTACTGAATGAGCACAGGATGTTAACTGTTGGACCAGCAGGAAATTCAGTAGAAGCCAACTAATGGCCCAATAACAGTGTCAGCATAAATACAAAATTTTCAATTTTCTCCAATTACCAGGAGCCAAATTTCCTATCAAATGGACTGCCCCTGAAGCAATCAACTATGGCTCTTTCACCATCAAATCTGATGTCTGGTCCTTTGGCATTTTGCTGACTGAGATTATTAGCTATGGACGCACACCATACCCAGGTAAGTAGGCTGCTAATTTTAATTCTGACGTATAATTTACCAGAGCATCTTTGAACAGTGAGCATCTTCCACTTACAGTTAGTACACAGAGGTTTTGTCCCATTTCTACACTTGTTTTAAAGTGTCCTTCCCAAACAAAGGACAGTGGTAATAATTACTCCCCACTGGAACCGAATAACGGCTGTGAATTTGGATTTTATTGAAGCTAGTGGCAAAATGGTAATACTTTACACAGCTTCACTATAGGTGTGGATTAATCATGTGTAATTTGATTCTTGTGCCATTTAACAGCACATAACTAATTCTCTTCAGTTTATCATTTATTATCATATGAGCTTACTGTATAGGTATCCTCTGATGCCAGGTGCTGTTGTGACAAGGATACGCTAGCTGCTGTGTGAAGCTGTAGCGCGAGCTAGATGCTAAGATCAGTATGTTAATATGCTCGCTGTGTCAATGTTAACTTGCTGATGTGTAGTGGATATAATGTTTACCATATTTACCACCAGAATTTAGAATTTTAGCATGCAAACCTTTTCTAATTAGCATTAAACACAAAGCTCAGGCTGTTGTAAATGTCAATAGTTCTGCAGGTACGTGACGATAAAACAAACCAAAATACTGAATACATTTTTGAAAAAAATCAGAAGATTACTAAAGTAATTGCAATTCATCCTGAGGTTACCAGTGAACTGATTGTCTGGGTATCATGACTGTCTGTACAAAGATCATCATAGTGCATCCAGTATTTTTTTAAATATTTCAGTTTGGACTAAAGGGGTGAACTGGCCAACTGACATCATCACACGGCCACAGAGCTACTGTAGCACCCCAGCCAGAGTCATCTAATGACAGCTCATAAGATAATCATCATTTATTTTTAAGAGGTCCTGGCTCTGCAGCCTCTCTTAACCCAGTCATGTGGTCTTGTTTTCAGGGATGACCAACCCAGAAGTTATCCGCTCCCTGGAAAAGGGCTACCGAATGCAACGCTTGGAATGCTGTCCCACTGAACTCTATGAAATCATGAAGGAGTGCTGGAAGAATAAGCCTGAGGACCGTCCCACCTTTGATTACCTGCAGAGTGTCCTGGAGGATTTCTACACAGCCACAGAGAGCCAGTACCAGCAGCAGCCATGAGACTTCGCATCTATAGATGTTATCTATTATTTGAACTCTTTCTTTCATTCTGAATCACTAGTTCAGTTTCTACATGCAACAGTTCAGAGATCATACACCTTCTACCTGTACCGCTCTCTCTTTCTTTCTCTTTTTTCCCATCCATACACGCATATAATGTATAGCAACATAGGACAATACAAAAATTATTGGGGAAGGTTGAAATTCCTGTTTGCTTTGGTGAAGAAACTAGACCCTACCTAACATTTTAAATATTCACATGGGCATGAATTAGAACATTTTAAATTAATATAACCAAATAGGAGATATTAAGAAAAGCAATATATCTGTAATGTGCACAGTAACTATTTTTATTACTACTATTAATATTATAACAGCACAGTCCTACCTCAGATTTGGGTTAGGGGCATAGCACAGTAATTATTGCCTGATTATCTTCTGAAGGTTTGATTATAGGCTTATATGGCTGCAGCTGCATCAGCTGTAGTGGAAATTTATTTTCACAGAACTGACCGTAAATCATTTGGCAGCCTTATAAATCAGAAGTGATTAGTGCATGATATGTACAGACAGATTGTGTGTTAGATATAGCTGTAGCCTCTAAAATAAAAAGTAACCCACAAAAGTATGCTTCACATAATTTTCTCTTGTACTCATTTTGTTTTATTCTACAGGTTGCACATATACACACTTATGCACCATTAGAAGACATTTCTATCTAGAGATAACTGTTGTATTACACCCTCACCTGTCTTTTAATTTTTGTATGGTCCCTGACTGTCAAACACATTTGAAGGTGTGTTACATAACAGTGTGTAGGAGGCTGTACTGTACAGTATATGCTGTTGTAAAAGCAGAACTATGATACACACAAAATATTATTTTAAACAAGTACAACGATACATGGCTATAGGTGTATATACATAATATATAAGCAAACAATTATAGACCACCCGAAAGCAGTCAGATTATGCTTCAGTATACCATCAAAGGAGTTATAAGGTTATAAGTACAACACAATGAAATATGTGCAGTGCTCAGCTCTGGTGATAATATGAGCAATTCAGCAGGCAAAACTGAAAAATGTATAGTGTTTTACATTGTGAAAGGGAAGTGGGTACTGTGACCTTTACAAAGTGCGAGATAAATGGCTGATTATGCTTCAATTCTTTATTTATATTCCACAGATATTGTCCAATAGGCTCTGAATTGTTTCAGCATAACTTCTTTGTACTGCCTTCAGCGAAGTGTTTGTTTGGTCATTTGCTTGTTTTTTGAAACTAAACATTTGGAGTATATTCTGTATGATCTGCAGACTCATGAAGAAAGCTGGTGTTTTAAAAAACTATTTAATATGAGGACATAGTAACTAATAATGCTTGTTGGTGGTTTTCCACTCATTAAATGTTTATCCTTTGTCTGGGAACATACTGAAAAAGCAGTGCATGTGCAGGTGATGTCTTTTGGCCTTATTTTTTCTGTTCAAAAAAATAATTTATTTGTGCAACTACTGTATGTTCATTTTTTTTAAGTGAAGGACCCATGAGTGCTATTTTCTCTACGCTGTTTTTGCATAACAAGTCTTGCACAATCACATATGGTTGAAAACCCAAGGGACCAAGATGGCAGCACGTGCATAACGTGAGGCTCATTGTCTCCCCAGAGATGCTTTGCATCCTTGGGTTGAATCTAATCTAATACAATATAAACGACAAGTAGGAGACTTGAAACATGGAATTAATTATAAATTACGACAATGTCATGTTGACTTCTTTAACTCCGATTGTTGCAATATGTGTTTTGTGGACTTAAATTTCAAAGGGATTATTGTCAGATACTTAATATCAGATTTTGTATCATCCATTTAGACAGAACGTAAGAAACAAAGTCGGAGATGATTTGCTTTGAAACACAAGTGATGGTGTATGTTACAATAGCGAATCAGTTCCCAGCTCTGTACATATATTCATAAGGCTAAAAAAATGTTTTATGTTTTTTAAACAATATAAAACCTTTTGCATATTTTCTTAGATGCTTGGTTCAACACAGCTGTGCTGAAAATTTCAAATAAACTGCTTTAAAAACATGTATGTATCCAAATGTGGATTTATATAACAGAAAACAATATTTATTTTTAACACACTAGGTCGTTTGCAATTATCGAAGGTAAGGCAAATTTTAATATATTCGTTTAAAAATCATAGCTAACAAAAGGATGGGAAGAATACTCTAGGCCTACATATCTTTTAAAGCATATTAGTCTATTAGCAGTAGAAGTAGTTTGAGAAATTACTGTCACTGATTCAAAGTGTGTTCACTAAAGTACTGTACTAAAATACAATTTTGAGGTATCTGTAGACTTCACTTGAGTATTTTCATTTTCAGCTACAGTATCTCATACTATGATTTCGCTAGCCTATTTTAGAGGCAATATCAATAATGTATAAATAATTATGATCCAGTAATATTAAATATGATACATTAATTTAAAATGTGGCGTTCTGCATAATGAGTACTTTTGGTAGCATATTTTAAGTAAGCTATATTTTGATTGAAACACTTTGGTGCTCTTTTTCTTAAGTAATTTTTGAATGCGGAACTTTTACTTTATACTGTGCCATTGTTACTTTTACTTAAGCAGATAATCTGAGTATATGTTGTAAACCTCCTGCATATCTGGGTGTGTCAAATTAAAAAAAGAAATTAATTAATCGGAAACACCACGTTCTGCGACGTCATTAATGACACGTATTCAAAATGGCGGCCGCGACTATGGTAAGTGGAAAAGCTGACTCTTGGTCTTCAAACTACATATCGTTCATAACGCTCTCTCTAAATTAAATGAGATAGTTTTGTAATTGTGGTCAAGCAGATGTCTGTCTTAGTCGTTGAAGACCATTTAACGTGAACAAGTCACGGGTCTATAAGAGTTTGCTGCTGTTTGAATGTTGACGATCTTGCTAGCTGCTTGCTGGAGTTAGCTAGTTAACGTTACCTAGCTTGACTGTCAGTGAGCTGTGACTCAAAAACGGATTTGTTTCATTTATCTGGTAACTTATAGTAAGGTGTTATGCCAGAGTATAGATAGCCACATACGTAATTTTTAAACTGTTGTATGCTGTACAGCCAAGAGAAGTCGGCTAAGTGAACTTTGGATGAATGTGAGTTAGCTGTTAGCAGCTCTGTCAGGTAGCGTCAGTGTCAGGTTGTTGTAGCTGGCTAAAAGTGCTGAAAGGTGTCAAAGTGACTGCAGCAAATATTCTACAACATACAAACATAATATGAAATAACACTCTCTTTGTTAGTAAGTTGTGCTTGCACATTGGGATAACAAAAAAATGTCGTTTATGTCACTAGCCATGCTTGTTAACTTCTTTCACTGCTAGCGTTATAACTCAAAATGTATGTGCTCCCCTTGGATTTTCACATCATGTAGTGTTGTTTTACATTAAACAATAGATCAGTGACTTCAAAACCTAATGACAAAATAATAGCTATAAATCGGCAGTAACTCCAGCCTTGACTCTGTGGATAGACAGGTCTGTGTCAGCAATGTATTGTTTGCGCTCTGTCGTATTGCAACAGGATACTGAGAAAACTGTTATTCCTGTTCTGCCACAAGTTAATAATTTGACTCGGCACGTATAGGACGTTGTTATGTTATGTCCCCACTGAACAATAAGTTTTGTATGTTACCAGTGAATTGTCAATCTGTGAACTTTGTTGTTGTCAATTTACTTTTTGTTGCTGTGGCTTGATGTTTGATTGGGGTTGTTTTGCCAGAGGCAAAATCTTATCCCTAGTATCAGGTCCTGAGCTGACTGCAGAGGACAAGGACTGTATTTTCTGGGGCTGTACCTGACTAAGAATTTTGTCAGCCAACTCAGACTAGGCTGTTCACTATTAATATTGGACTGTCCTATTTGTTGTTGTTGTTTTTATTATAGACTATCAGTAATCAAACAGGCATGAACCCCAGTGAGTTTGGTAATCAAATGCAAAAGAGTGATGGAAACATATTTTTGAGCAGTGAAAATCAATAAAAAGCAGCTGCATATGATGCAAGATTTAAATTTCAACCTTTTTAAATTGATGATGTATAATCTGGGACTGCTATGCGGATTTGTCAGAGTAACGAGAAAGGAGGATAAGGATAATCACCTTTTTTGGCAGCCATCTGCGGCGCCAACTCAACCATGCCCCGTTGCCCCCGATGGTTAGAGCCATCGGGGGCAACAGGGAGGGTTCAGTGTCTTGCCCAAGGACTCTTCGACACGTGGACTGCAGGCACCGAGATTCGAACCTTCAACCTTCTGGCTGGGAGAGGACTGTGCTACCCACCGCATCACTGTCGCCAAGACAACACATTTGTATTTCTGTTGAAACAATGCTCTTAGACGCGATTTTTTTTTTTCTTCTGAGACATGGTTATAGCCTAGTTTACCAACACGTTTAAGCTTCTCTCATCAATGAATCACCAGCATGTTGTTTGATGCATGCCAACATGCACTATATATTTATGATTCTTCTTATTTATAATTCCTCATTTTATTTTTTCCCAGCGCATTTTTGTTGTCTTCCTAGTTCCGTTCAGATGGATGCATGTTGCAGAAACGGCAGGTAAATGGCCGTGTGTTACCCTTTAACAGAGATGTGAAAATAAACCGGATGCACATATACTAAACCAGCCACATCATCAAGGCTGTTAGTCTTTTCTCTTGTGAAAGTAGACCATGATGTTTGAAAACATTTAAAGTATGAAGTACAAATCTCACCTTTATGTGGCTTGTCCTAGTGGATTTTGTTCTTTTTCTCCTCATTCTGGTCAGCAATTTGCTAAATAGTGTCATTGGCAGTGGGGGTCTCAGTGACATATTTCAAGTGGGTGCAACCCCAATCACAGGGAGAAGTATTGACTCATGATTCGACTAGCTAACTTCCAGAGGCAGCCCTAGTGTTCTCCCACACTCTCTGGCAAACAGATGGTATATGAGATATTTTTCTTTGGCTCTGTGCCTTGAAGATGCCACAGCTGAACCATCTGGGTGACAGTGGTATGCAGTGTCCTGTGCTTCAGCTTTGGAGCCCTGCAGCTCCCTGTCCTTATTCAGTACTTTTCAAGTCATGGATTTGTTTGGAAAGATGTTTGATGTAATAATATTTGTTGTTTTTTTTTAGCCAAGAAATGTGGTGTGACTACATTTTACAGGCATCTTACATATAAGAGAGACAGCTAATTCTTGTTGATTTCAGTAGATCTCCCAAGTTTACTGTTTTAATATTGAGCTATGGCCTTATCCATTTTGATAGGTCAAGGTCAAGTGTTTATTGTCATATGCACAGTGAGGAAACATGTTTCCCTGTACAATGATATTCTTACTTCGCCGTCCACATGAATGTCACAGTATAAGTGAAATATAACGCAGATACATAGGTAACAAAATCTAAATCTCAAAATCTTAGGCACTATAAAACAACTGATGAAAGAAGCATAATGAAAAATAAAAAAAGAACACAATGTAAAACAGCCAATGAAAGAAGCATAATGAAGAATATAACAAGAACACAATATAATGAAGAGAAAATGTATGCTAATGGGAGCTGTGTCTACAAATAGTCAGCAGTGAGTGTGCAATTATGCATGTGCAGACTGAGTGTGTAAACGGTATGGGTGGAATTATGAGGTAGATCCTGAGTCAGCTGTTTAGGAGTCTGATGGCAGAGGGAAAGAAAGAGTTTTTCGGTCTAGAGGTCCTGCATTTCACACTTCTAAACCTCTGGTCAGAGGGTAGGGGCGTTAACAGTCCATGCTGGGGGTGGGTGGGGTCTTTGAGGATGGAGGCAGCTTTCCTGCGCACTCTGCGGTGGTAGATGCTCTGCGGAGAGGGCAGTGGAGTCCTGGTGATCTTCTGCGCAGCATTTACCACTCTCTCCAGGCACTTACAGCCCATAGCAGTAGTGCTGCCATACCAGATGGTGATGCAGCTGGTCAAGACGCTCTTGACCATGCAGCTGTAGGAGTTGCTGAGGATCCTAGGCGACATGCCAGACCTCCTCAGCCTCTTCGGGAAGTACAGCCGTCGTTGGGCCTTCTTGACGAGCTGTGTGCTGTTATGTGTCCAGGTGAGGTCCTCACTGATGTGGACGCTCAGGTATTTGAAGCTGCTCGCCCTCTCCACTTTGAGCCCCCCGGATAAACAGTGGCTGATGAGTTCTCCTCACCTTCCTCATGTCCACTATCATCTCTTGTTTGATAGGCAGACTTGCATCCCAATATGTTAAAGCCCTAACTATGTTTCGGGTGCAATTGGAGAGCCACTGAAATGCTATAGGAAAGTTGAGCATCCTTAACTGCCAAACTGTAATGCAATGAAACAGCACCTTTGCAGGTGAGGTGTTAGCCTTTTACATAAGTTATGACATAACAGGAAATTGTTAGGATGTAGTTGTAGGTTTACTCTGCCTGAAGGAAATTCTTAAAAGAGATGAGACACACACTGTTGCCAGTGTTCAGTAACCGCTGTAACAAATGCACAGTATTTGTAATTAGCAGGCAGGCCCAAACAGAATCTGTTTATTTTTATTTTACAGTTTTCTGTGTGACCTAACCTAAAATAATATTGAGCAGGGTTAAAGAAATCACTTTATATATGAACTTTTAAATTTGAGAATTTTTTAAGAGAACATTTTAAGAGGGAGGCAATCACGTACTTGTATTCTGAGTTTCTACTTTCTTTTCAAAATCTGTGGAAAATCAGCAGAGGTGTTGTTGGGATTCTGCGGGTGCAGATTTCATTTAGGTCTGGTAGTTAGTTTAAATTCTTATATACGTTATGTGGTCTGATGAAATTGGTTCATGTTTAAAATCTTGTTGTCTTGCATACATAATGTTTTGCAATGAATCTCACGGTGTGCACATTATGCAATGTTTGTGCTTCTGTATATCTGCGTGATGAAAAATTTGGTGGTGTCTGTTGCAGGAGACGTGGTGGGCCTTGTTGATATTGTCCTTGTTGCCCATGGTTCGACCCTTCTATGTTCCTGGAGTTGCTCCCCGGGACTTCCGTGAGGGTGATGGATTAGATATAAAGGTGAGTCTAAAGTGTAGGTGATCAGCATTTTGCAGACTGCCAGTAGTTTTTTCAAACAGTCAGCCATGGAGGACTCTCGGCAGCTAAAAGTCTGAAACATAAGAGGTCATGTTCTTTTGCACAGAGAGTAGAGTACAGTAGAGTAGGTACTTTATTGATCCCACAGTGGGGAAATTTCTGTGTTACAGCAGCAATAGAGAACAACCAACATAACACCATAAGAACAGACACATAAG